CTAAAGTTAAACTTAAACACTCTAAGGAGTCTTTTGTCACTTCCTTTCATGATAAATAAACACAACTAAATTAAAATAGGCCAGTTAAACTTTTCACTACTCAATAAATAAGGAGATAAGTAATAAACAGTGAAAAGTGTAAGCAAGAACGATCGTGAATGCTTTTATTTAGCATAGATAAAGTTTTAAAGTAAGACGAGTCTAGTAAAATGGTAATTTCAACGCGATGCAACTGTTTCAACACTTTCCAAGTTGCAGAGCACGCTCATTATGTTTCCAACAAAATCGCATACGATAAAATAAACTGTGATACGATTGCATCACCGTAACACAGTTGAATCGATAACGCAAGTTTGTCAAATTGCAAGAAAATAACCGTGCCATATTTTGAAATAATAAAAAAAATAGCGACATTTGTTCACTAGCATCATTTATAGCATCTTGAACTACATTTTTGTATTATTCGTCTAATCGTATGTAGAACAAAATGTGTAGAAAAACAAATTCTAATAAAATTATTATTTTCCTGGTTTGAAACAGAAATAACGTTTGTTAAAAAATAATCTTAATTTTAATTATAAGTAAAGTTAAATAGATTGACCGTTATTAATTTTATTTATAGTTACAAATCATAAAGCTTATTTCCATCAAGTTATAAAGTACTCCTGTAACTTATAAGCACTAAACGTCACAAGATTGCCATCAGCCCATTCAGAAAACCTGCTGTGATTGTTTTATTAATCGAATGGATCGCTCTTAGATATACTTGTCTTTATGTTCTTACAAAGAAATATATTCAAAATAGGTCCGTAATTTAGCTGGTCATTAATCCTCATTGTTTGTCAATATATGCTCATTTAGAACTGTTGCAGTATGTGTCCTCTTTCAGTCCCTTTGAGTATATAACCATATAGAGCAAAAATAACATTACGGAAAGAATCGAACACGTCGATATTGCTTCGGGAAATAAACTTTGAGGAAAGTTATAAGTTAAAAGATGACCAGACGTTTTAGAAGTATAAAACTAAGTACAATATGTCATTAAAGTTATTTAAACTAATAGTCGATCGCAACCTCAGACTCACGGCTTTGAATCATCAAGCAGTTTGCTTTGTAAGGTGTATTTCGGTTTAAGAATTGAGACAATATAGTGAAATTGTAGGTAACGCATAACTGATAACCCGAGCATCACATAATCACATGATGTCCGTGATGCTGTCATGTATATAGGTGACCGTTACCACTTACCATCAGGTGGGCTATAAGCTATTTATCAGAATAACAAGAAAACGTTATTTGGCATATTGATACTATCAGAAAAAATTACTAACATTTCAATAGATTTATGAAGGTTATTGCTCAATCGTCATTGTATTTAGTGATGACTATCGTAAAGAAGATTTAAAAAATCGAACTCTTAATGTTTTCTCATATCGATTAAAGACTCTTTGCGTACGTATTTTATGGGCCTTTAGATTTATTTGTGTGCGTGAGATGTTATTACATTAGGAACAAATGGTCAAATCGTGCGGGAAAATTTATTATGTAATTCTAGAATCGCTGTTGGGAAATATATTCACTTTTCGTCGTGACCCGACATCTTACCTAAATATAAATACATACATTTACTTATTTGACAAATTATGAATAATGTTTTATTCAATCAGATATGTATTTAATCAAAATTTACATTTTAAATGCACTCTTAATTATGCAACATCGATATTAGTTGTGAGTTACCGAGTTGACTTATCTTCATGATTTAGGTTTACCCGAATCCCAATTTATGTTGTTTGTGTCGATCTAGACTTAAATAAATGAGTTCCCAGATAAAATTCAAATTAAGGTTTATTTTAGCGCACGAATTATATAATTTGTTTTAGAGCGTCAACATAGTGCAGATATACCATGCGATTAATTAAGTTTAGTAACGACTAATTAATCCCGCTACCCGCTTCTTATTCTAAAACTATCATAATAATAATAATCTTAATAGAATCCACACAGTGTCATCTAGTCCCAAGCTAAAAAGAATGTGTGTTACACCCATAACTAGACAACTGATATAAATAAAGAGATACATATACACATACATAGGAAACATCCTGAACAATACAAATAATCATACTCGTCAATACTAATGTGAGGAATCAAACCCGCGACCATCGGAAGTAATGTCGGTGTGCTAAATCGATAGACCACCGAGGCCATCGAAAATTTGAAAGCATTTACGTAATCTGTACCATCGACAATTCTCAGGGCTCGTCTATGAACCATTCAAAAGGTCTATTCTAAAGATTGTATCCATATGGTCTTGCCTATAGATAAGAGAGACTTCGTTTGGAGTGTACTTGCTACTTACATAGAATTTACTATATCTATATTATTTACATTCCATACATATACAAAATTTTCATCTATATATTTATTTATTTAAGTTAACTTTGATATTTGACAGTTTATATTCACACAAAATCTTTAATATTGTATTTCTGAACAACATATATTTAAAAGAGCAACACCCAATTTTTAGGCCCATTCTTCTTCTGCGTTCCAAATGAGTGGTAGAATCAAACAATATTCATAAGTGATTATATTAAGTTTATTTGAATAAAGATTATTTCTATTTCTATACACCTAGTTTGTATATATACCAATATAGTATGTAGTGATGATCAATGATTGCAAAAAATATAATTTATATGGACAGCTTGCAAATTTAAATCCAAAATTTTAATGAGCTTGAGTAAAGATTCGCATTATTTAAATTTAGGTTTCATTTTAGACTGTTGCAAGAATATAATCATCGGCATAACTAACTAGGTACGTGTCGAAATGAGATAAATGCATACATTTAAAACTAGATCCCAGATGTAGATGTTATCTCGATACGATTTGATCTGATATGTTTACATCTAATACAAATTACATATATGGTGATCTTCGTCGACTTCAGTGATCGGACGACCTTACTTCCTATGTTCGCCAGTTCGATTCCTGCTCATTACAAACTTTTATAATAATTAATATGTTTATTTGTCTCATTCAGGATGTTTTACTATGCACAAATATGTCATAAATGTGTATTTGATTATGTCTAATAATTAGGTTATAATCCGGAGATCTAAATTGTCATGTCTCCGTACCTCTTAATTTCACTTCCATTTCTCACCCCTATACCGCAGCATAGCTTATAAAACAAGCTGCTTGGCTTTTAAAATAGGAATAATATGCCTGAAAATCTACCAAGTTCTACATTTATGTATAGCAAGTTGCCCTGCCTACATGAATTAAGTCGGTATCATTGCAATTATTTGGAACAGGGATGACAGGTATATAGTATACTGCGACTATAGCGTCTAACTCAATCATAATTATTGACGTAATTACTTCAATATTGTGGAAAATGTTTTTTGAGGAAAAGTGTTCAGTTTCGTTAATGTTATTGCCGGGATTTAGTTTATGCTTTGTAGCTTATTTATGTGGGTTAGTTTGATATATTTGTTATATACCTTCATGCCTGTACCCTAGATAACTCAAAAGGTTGATTATTCCAGTTAGGATTATGGTCAATTGAGATGTCATCGTGAACATAACTCTTGACATGCTCACATTTGTGCTCACACACGATCCATTCAGGTTTTCTCTCGCATTAGTTTGTTATCAGTGTTTCTAATACTAGTATAAACTGCCGTACAAAGTTTTATTGCTATTGATCAGAATCTATCATGACCATTTGTGCCTATAAGTCAGACTAAATCACATCGCCACGAAGCTTTCAAGATATTGTTAAGTAAGTTGTAAGTTAATATTCCATATGGTACATAAGGTCACTGAGTGAACTCTATCGATGTTTTTCACATTACGCTCATAAACAAGATAATGTTCATGTATGACGTGGATATTGTCAATAGCTTCCTTATAACAATATGTTTATTGTTTCATGGGTCCCATCGCCGCAGTTTCCCTCGCTCGCGGCAGGTTCACGAGAACAATGCCTCGATGAGGACAACAATTTCACCTCTACTTAAATATGCTTAAGCGGAAACCATTTCTAAAGCCCCGGGCGCAATGTTGCAATATGACCTTGGTTTCGTCCGAAAGTTTTAAAGAAAAATAGCCCAATAAAAGATATCAGTATTATCAGTTTTATGTTATATTTTCTTTTAGTTTGATGAGTTCACGACCCTGATGATCTTTTCGTTTTTATATAGGCCGTTCGTTTCACTCTGCTTTTTTCGTCTTTTAACTCGCAGGCTCTCAAGAACAGATTCTTGCAAAAACTCCCACAAATCGCCAGCATAGATTTTTTGTTGCATCAGGAATCACGCTAAACATTTATTTCCTTAAATTTCAGCCTATTGCTATAAAATTCCCCTAAATTAGCGCAAAACCGCCATGACTGCTCAGGCGATTTGTCTATATCGCAAACGTCAATGCAAAACACGCACGGAATAATTTGCGGTAACTTGGCGAACTGATTTTCTGGCGATATCGTGTTTTTGCGTGGTATCGCCTTGTTTTTTTATCGGAATTGTATTTTTAGGTAAAAGTATGGCTTATTATGAATAACAATTTCTGATGTAGAACAGTTGTAGTACTTAAGCTTGTTAGACAATTTATATTTATTTGTTTTCGTAAATATGAGTATTATTAGGATGTGATAATAATAAATAAACATAATCGATTAAAAATGAACTCATGCCAATTGGAAAATTAAAGTTGCTAATTGATGCGTTAAGAATTATAAATTAATTAATTCTGAATAATAAATGTAACTTCAAGTTACTCACTGGTTATCTAGTCGTTAAAACGCAGCATAAATTGAATAAGCAAGTAAGGGGTTGATTAACAATTCTAATTCGCGTAATAATCGTATATTTAATTTATAATAACAAATTACTTAAAATTAAATAAAATATCCGTTAAGTTTGAAAATAATAAATAGGTTTGTTTGTATTAAACACACTTATGCTATTATTAATATTTTTTTTACTTACCGAATATAAATATAAGTTTCATTTTCACAGCTAGCAACACTGGCACAGAATTCGAAGTCGATCGATTTTCGAAATTTTCGCGGCGGCGTTCGTCGCGCTTTGACGCCAATCCGCGTATGGTGCTGTGCGTGCGCGCCACCACCGCCTGGTGGTCGGTGGCAGTCACCACGTTCACTTTCTATGCGTGGTGGGGCCGTCCTAGGAATACCGGGAAGCTGAGGGTTTGTTGACTCTATTGTGGTGCGAGTCGCATCAACCATTAATCAATAATTGGTATATTTAATGATGGATGATCATTGATCTTCAGACTAGAAGTTATTCTATGGGATGGGTATAGTATTTCAATTTATGATGCGTAAGTAGTAGATATTCGCCGTATATTTCAGTATGCATACTCGCATTTTTATTAATGGTTTTACTAAAAATACGCGTATCAAGTATATATACTAGAGAAACTATTTCAATGTTACCGTGTATAAATACCGCAACGGCGAAATTGACATATATATAACTATATGTCAAATTTGTAATAAATAATAGTAGAGATGAATATATCAAAACCTACTGTGTGTACGCACATCTTTATGATTCTTCGAGACGGATCTTTAATTCCAGATAAGGACTGTTTAGTGTATTTCTCCTAGTTTTATTGCATTTACCTAATACATGCATTTATATATTACATGACATTAACTAACAGTCAGACAGTCCAAGGTACCTACTGCAACAGTGTTCCTCACAATACACTTTATCCTTTTGTCTTAGCGCCATACTTGCACAAACGTATTGTAGCTTGCAATTTTATTTGTTATATTTTGAGGGACAGTTATAAATCGCTGAATACATTATTAGCGCCGTCCTTCAATCCATTCCTTGCATTTGAGATTAAATTAGATTTACAATTTTAATTACATAAAACTGTCACCATTGTGATGCACGTCACTTAAAATTACTATATTTATCTGTATTTACTTGAATCTAATATCATATTCGCCTTGTAGGTGGCCTTTATCACTCAAATATTTAAATAGATCTGTCGATAATGATGTTTTCAGTAACAGAAACAATTATTACCACTGTTACAAAAAAAGTCCTCGATCTCACCCATTTCAGCTGTTAGAAAGAGGTTAAAAACTCTGTTTCGGTTGTAAGTTGCGATCAAGCAGAGAAATTACAGGATAAGGAATGGCTACGCAAAACAGGTATCACGCGTCTTAAATGATAACGTGATATCCGTAGTGCTGTTCATGTATGTGTATAGGCGATTGTTATAGCTTACCATCGTACAGGTGTACTATTATTTTGTTTACATTCCAATTACATAGAAAAACCGAATCCTGAAAAGTATTTGTTAATTCAGAATGTGATCTATCTGTGTACTAGATTACATTCGAATCCGTCGAGTACTTTTCACTAGAAAGAGTAACAAATATCCATATATCCTTTACAAACTTTAACATTTATGATATTAGTAGGACAGTAGCTCGTTGATGTGGGTGAATTAATAGTTCGTATCTAGAAGCATACATTTAGCAACGGATCATTAACACGAATGTTACGATATAAATATATTTATAGTGAATCGATGCATTTATATTATGCAACTTGTGGTCGGTGGCCAACAATTATGCGTTACCATTCTCGAGAACTATAGTATTATGCTTCCGTATCGAGTAATATCACTGCCATATCTCACCAAATGGTTTGAATACGACATTTTATAAAATGTTTGTCTGTTCTTCTGCTTCCTTCGTTTATAGGTCAGTAACACATCCTTTACTGATCTTTAGGTATATTATAGATTCTACGTTCTTCAGGTGTAATATTCCTATGCCACAACTTTCTCTTTTAGTGCAGTGAATTTAAAAATAAAAAAACATATTCAACTAGTGTAAAATCAAAGGTTTGTGCCTGGGCCACGTTTGATATTTATAAATCTAGGGCTAATCATCACAAATTTGAATTTTCTATAACACTAAATTAATTTATATATATTATTACAAGTCAATTGGTATTTAATATAATTTGACGAAATTTAAATATTCAGTTGTACTTTCTCAATCGATGAATCATAAATATCACAATAAATTAATTCACATTCAATATAATTAATTGAAAGAAATAACAATATTTATAATCCGTGGGTATAGTTATCCTTGTAAAGACTGTAAACTAATTATACGGAATTTCAAAATAATTTTATGACTAGGTGGGCGCGAAGTTAGTCTATTTAGTATATATGATGACATTTGAGAAGGATAAAAAAAATGGCAAACATACTGCGTAGCACACACACATATATGAACACATGTACTCTAGTAAAAGTAAGGCTGTTTTTTAAATTGGTTATCGAATATCATTCAAATAACTTTTGCCGATAGAGCTAATATATATCAGGTTTTTATATCAACTAGTTCATATAATTTTCATTACTAAAGATACATCATTGCCTAGAAGCATAATTATATATGTTACATAATTACAGAGGTCGCGACACGACGCTATGATTCCAGTTTTTGCATTTATAACACTTAAGTCTCTTGTTTCTGCACCAGCATGAAATGTTTTCTTTCACTTTCCAACGCGTTTGGGCGCTTTTATCTACACATTCTTGTTTTTCTACTTGAGATAATAATCTATCTACTACTACTATTCTTTACTAATATTATATATATAAAGTTTGTGAATTTGGATATCCGGAGTTAGCTACGGTACTATTATTTAGATTTTGAAAATTATTTTATTGTTGGATAGCCTATTTATCGGGTAGGGCTTTACACTATATAACATCACGCTACAACAAATAGAAGCGGGTTTGCAATGAAAATTGCAGGCCATTACTGATATAAAATTGTCTATCGTCTGTGAAAACATTGAAAACGATAGTAATTTGAAAAGGACGCTTACTACGCTGTCCAGTGTTGTGTCAATCTGTATTTCTGACTGTATCTCCGGCGATGGAAATAGCGATCTATTAAATGTGATTTATAATTTCCATGCACATGTAATGTAGAGGTCTAATGACTTTATTAATATACCATTTTTATAATAAACGAGACCTTAATTCTCTGACAAATGTTTCTATTAACTAGAAACCCTAAAAACCTACCATGATTTATACTGATTTTATGTTTATCGCCTGGTGGATAAAAGAAATAAAACGCAATAACGCAAAACTCGGTAAAATATTTCATGAAAAATACGCCTACATGACAGGTGCTCCAAGGATGTTGATCCCAGGAAAATATAACTTTTGTTGAGCGTTGATATAATCAACTAGGAACTACTCTTTTTTATTACTCGACAACGAAGCTAAACGGAGTATATATAATTTTGTCTAATATGTATAACTCTAAATCTATCAGATCATAATTTCATAAATCTCACTGGAAGTATGGTCCACTGTTTATTATAAAGAAAAGGAAAAGTTGCATTAAAACCCTATCCTCCTCTTAGCAAACTACTACTCCTTAACCCTCGTAATAACAACGGGCCATTCTTGTTTTATAAACTGAAACCCGTGAAAATACGGTTGATAATAGAGGGGGGAAGGGGATTGTTAGTAATGTGGACTAATGATCCCATTGCTAGCAATGTACCATGTCAGATCGACCTCCACGCGGTTCCCCCTGGAAAACATCGTGATACAACCCGGTGAATTTGTCTTGTTGGGCTAACTGATCTGACTTCATGTTCATCCTATCGTCCTCCACTGGTGCCCCTCCAGCGTAAACCGTTAGCGCAGGCGAGTGCAACATTCCATTATCATCCTTTAAAAAAAAAGGTTGTTTTATGTGGATGGTTATTTTTAATGTAGGTATGGTGCACTCGTCTGGCTAGCCATCACATTTACAAGTCATCTCTATGATTTCCAAAAGGTACACAGTATGGAGGTGAACCTAATAGATTGCTAGCAATTAGGCTACTAGCTCTCGTAAGTAACTATCCGGTTCTCTCATTACGATGTTTTATCTATAATATAACAGAATCCGTTCAAGCAAAATTTATTAAACAAACTTATAAAGTCTATTTAGAATCCTGTAGAGTAAACGAGCTTAGCTAGTGTTTTTATAAAAATAAAATGAGTCAGGCGTAAAGAGATATAATATGTACTACAATATGCTATTAATTAAACTCCAGCTCCTCCTACTCCTACTGCTACTTCTAAACACCTCGTCCTACTTATTCTTGTTACTTGTTTATTTTGTAAGCTGATATTTCCATAAAATAATAAGCCACGCCAAGATTGTTTACTAAATATGTCATTACTTAACGAAAAACAGAAAATATACTTTCACTTTTATAATATTAGTATAAAATAACTTCTGCGTGGGTATATTTTTGCCCACGATGATTTTAATGAATAAATATCGTGTGGAAAAATCTTCAAAAGATCGTCTACCTATCGAACGGGGTGACAAGGCAATGTGTAGGATTGCTAAAAACCACACGGAGTACCTACCTACTAGCGCTATTACCAGAGTCTCAGAAGTCTCTATACCATTCTACTGCGACTTCGACGAGTTGGTTCACCATGTAGATGGTGTAGGGCAGCCCCCATCTCGTTGTTTGAGTGACCCATTTCGGTCTACTCAATTCTGAAAGAGTGTTGATATGTTGTACCCGCCTACACTATAAGTATACGCGGATAGTGGATAGTGTGGATTTATTGGAAGATAATTTAATGAGGATGAGATCAAATCATTCATTATCAAAAGTAACACATTTACACAGTTACCTTGGTACTATAGTGGTTGCGTAATGAATTGACCTGCGTAAACCCTATTGCTAACAAATCCTTCCCCTTACACTGACATTCTTAATACTCCAAGCGGATGCACAGCAACCTAGATCATCTTATTTCTCATTTAATCATCTTCAACCGGTGCTCCGTAAGCGTATAACGTGTGTGTACTATTCCAAGACTAAAGTATAAAAATATACATAATTTCCATATAAATTTCGTATAAAGAATGACCAGCAGGTTAGGTAAGAAGAAATGATTGTATTGTGTAAAAAAGCACATGATTTTAATAAGTTTTATAGTCAAATATACAAATGAAAATGATGCATAAATAATTTAGAGTCATCAAAAGTA